GCAATCAGGTTAATTACAATAATGCAAAATCAGATTGAGATATTATTCGAGCGAAGTACACACTAAGGGCTTAATATTTGGAAATGAAATTATTATTGGGAATAATTTGTGAAACAGGCAAGGGAAGCTAGACCCCTTAGGAATAATCAGTTTGAGTAAAAATAATTACAAAATTATCGAAACACTATTCCATCGAAGCAATACTGCATGCGCATAACTATAAGCAGGGATACATTAATTTGTCCACCCATATAGCATCATGTCCTGCATGCTAATGAAGCTGTCCATTACACAAATAATGGCACTCCAATTATGCGCATCTGCCATGGCTCTCAACTGCCCGGGAGTCTAGTTTCCAATTTGGGTAACAAAAAGCAGGCTTCACCTGCCAATCAAGCAGTCATACATAATTCAAACATAGTTCCAATCAGATATAATTATAAACGACAATGGTGTACTGAAAATAAACTACAACCGGGTTCTCACTCACTTAATTATTCTCCAACAATAAAAATCGCTTGAGCCTTTAATATTTTTCAGCTAAAAGGGATTTAAGGTGGCCTAAATAAAATATGTGCCATAAAATGCAATTTGTCCCTCTAACATCGTTCAGCTTTTATCCAAAAATGTCATCAACGAATTCTGCAGTCCCCTGAGCTCTGTGTAAAATATATTATTAAAGCTACGCGATAAATGCAATTATGTGTACAAAAGAAAATTCCGCCGTACCTAAGCATTTTTAAATTTAAACTTAAATCCAGCAAAGTCATCCGCCCAGGATGACAGGGCGGAACTCCTTTAATTAGATTATTAAGGCCGACCGAAATGTAAAAAACTTTAACATGTTCCACTTGTATACGCACACACCCACCATTTGGTGGAGATTTAATTAAAAAACTTTTGGCCAATCGCGGGTAGGCAGGGGAAAGTCTGTTTGTTCTGCAGCCCGACAAATAAATCTTTATAGATTAAGCGAGCCGCGTGTGTTGTTGTTGCTGCTGCGGCCCCTCGACAAAGAATTTTTGGATGAGCTTTAAGAACTACTTTTGTTGATGTTTTTGTTGGCGCTCGGGAGCTCGGAAAAGTTTGTCGATGAGAGCCGAGCATCCAGGGCCCAGAAATGATAGAGCCCCGTCCCGAAAGAGATGGCGAGGTTTAAGGATCCATCGACGGCCAAGTGATTTATGCGCCCGGCCCAAAAACTTCCAGCCAGGCGTGTGAAAGCCAGCTGAGGCAGGCCAAGCTGCTGTTTTTGGTTTAATGAACTCGAATGTTAATAAATAAATTTGTCAATGGAGGGCTGGGTTCAGCCTTCTGGGTTATCTGCTGCTGGCCAGGAACATAATGAAACGAAGATGAATGGAAAATCGACTTCTGGCCACCGTCGCTGGTTGGCAACTAATGAGCTGCGATGAATGGCGAACGGGCCTGAATAAGGGAATCTAGGGGCTTAAGCTCACAAAGGCGCCGCGAACGTTTGTTAATATTCAAAGTGTCCAGCAGCTTAAAACTTCCATTGCAGCCAGAGTACACGAATTCGGCTAATTAACGTTAATTAGAGGGTGAAAAGGCCGAATGGCATTCGAAATGGAAATCGATTGGAAAAATCTACAGAGAACCTTTAAGCAGGCCGACTTCATAAAGCCTTCTTTTACTGCCCTATTTAAACGTGATTTAATTTGATTTCTATATACGCACATGCAGCGGGATTTTACTGCCGGCTGAACTGACCAATCGACTCGACTCATCTGGGGGCAATCAACACATCATCATCCCCTCCTGGCCTCCTAATGGCATCGACATCCCTATTATCCGTATCCTGCTCATCATCAAACAGGGATGGAGGGGGGTCGGCATTATCGTTTGTTTTGATAGGTTTTTTGTTCGCTCCTCCGAGGGGATAATACTCCACACACGCCCTGCTCTTCCTGCTCTTCATGCTCTCTGACGACCAGCTTGTTTGTTGTTCGGGCAACGGGCAAAAACATTCATCAATTTCGTTATCCCAGGATGCCTAAAAACCCGGAATCCCCAACATTGTCAGGTGCTTACATGCGCGCCCAAAAATAGACGAATGCAGATTGAAATTGATGGCCGGGTCGTCGGCTTAGTTCCCCCCGGCCACTTTCTAATGTTTAAGTTCTCGATTACACAACAAAAGCGGCTTTTCGGCAATTCAGCAATCCAGAAGGCAAGGATTACGAACTGCTGAAAAGTGCTTACCGGTTGCACTTCAAAATGCCATGGATAACAAAATGTCTATCGGGTATCGCCTGAAAAATCAGATAAATTAAGGGACAGACAACCCATTCGAAACCTCTTTGCAGCTTAGCTGATAGAGGGTAAATAGCAGGGACCCAAAACGGTTAGCAAATAGATAAACAGAGAGCATTTTCGTTACTAAAAACCCTGTAAGCACAAATGTTCTTTCTTAGAGTTGAATGTTATTATTATCAGAACAAAATGCTAAGAAGAAGCAACATGCTTTAGAAAGGTAGAAAATATATAAGATCACATGCAAAAGTTAATTAAGTTAATTAAGCGTCTGTCAACTTTTTTATAATCTTTTAAAATTAAAACAAAAAAATATATTTTACTATTTTCAATAGAATAACATTTTTAGTTGCACACACGAGTATAAAATTCATTAAATTAATAAGAACAAATCCTTAGTTAAAATGAAAGGATGATATAATAATAGTTTTATCCACACTGTTTTAAAAAGAAACCACACTCATAGAAATTTTCCGGTAAAATCGCCCTAAAAACAGGGAAAATCGCCCTAAAACGGGGGTCAATGGCGACTAGGCGACAAATCTAGGGCGAATCGCCATAAAAATAATACCAAAAAAGCAAAAAAAATCAATTAATTTTTCGATGATGGGGGGGGTGTGTGTGTGTGTGTTGGTTGATATTTCCTGGGAACAGGACTCAACACATACACACACACACACAGACACGAACATCGTTTCAGATAATTTGTTTCTTGAATTGTCGGCTATACCGGACGATGCTGTTGGGGGCAGGAGGCAGCAGACTTGTATAACCGCCGGTTATAACTGAAAAATCATCTTTGTAATCGAATTAAGGAGATGTATATAAAGAGAAAAAACATCTTACTTGAGAAAAACATTAGGGTGTCTCTACGAGGGTTCGAACCCACGGCCTCTCGAGTTGGAGTCTAACGGTCTAGCGCTGCACCACAGTCCCATCGAGCTATGCAACGTACAAACCCTGTACACATCTTATTTTTTTGCGGTCTAAGTTATACAAACAAAAAATTGTATTTTTTGCTGGTGACTGGGATACTTTGGGCCGTTTCCTCGCATGCTTAACATAAATTAGTCTTTAAACTCAGAATTTCCATATGTATTTAGGTTTTTAAGACTACTTTAAATTTAACACGCGGACGAAAAAACTTAATTAGTAATAAAAACTGTAATAAAAAAAAAAGTGTTGACTCACACAGGAATCGAACCCACGACCTGTATTTTCAAACAGCAAAGCTGAAAGTGCGAGTGCCCAGCGGTCTACTACACCCAAAAAAAAAACCGAAAGCTTACAGTTAATACGCGTTGTATTAAAAGTATACTACAGCTAGTATCAAACTGTCAGTATTAATTTAAAACTAAATAATGTAAGGAGCAGACTCAATAGTGTTAAGTTAAGACTAAATAGTGTTAAGTTTATGTCCTGAGTTTAATTTCTATACCGAAGTTTTCGGTTTTCGTTCCTGGTGTGAAGCCAGGATGCTCTGGTTTGGAACCTGGACATTTCGAACAGAAAAAGTGTTACCGCTTTTTAATGCTATTCGGACGCGTTAGTATTTTAAGGGTTTTACATTAGTGTATTTTGTAAACGACGCTGCGGTCTGTTTAAGGTTTGTTTGTGAAAATTACTTGTGAAAATTTTAATATTTGCTTATTTTGGGCTTATTTGAAATGTAAGTACATTTAAATTGTGTCTTAGTCCATAACTAATGAGTAAAGTCTTTTCTTTTTACTGACACCACCTTGAATTGCGCTCCAGATGCCGGGAAACTAAGGATCTTGCTATTGGCTTGCATTTTTCTGACCGCGGCCAGCGCAATGTTTACTTCAATATCAGCGTCCCCGACCAAACTCCGGTGTTCATCTGGACGGCGACCACTCTGGAGATGATCAGCGACATAAGCGGTAAAACTGCATTTGCCCAAATATGCATACACACGTACATATTTTGTACATGTATTGTATTTATGTTTATTTGTTAAATTAAAAATTACCTTCAGTAATTTATAAAAATGTAAAAATATTTTTAATAATATATGAAAAGTACAGAACAACATTTTTTGAATTTTGTCTCTTTTATACGGGGTATAATATTTATACTGGCATTATACTAAATAGTATACGAAATAAACTAGCACCCTAAATTTCAGTACACTGAGTGAGTATAAACTGTACACTCGTTAGTTTAAACTTGACAACTTCGAAAGTTTCATTTTTATACTTTCGAAGTCCATTAGTTTAATACTCAGAGTATCGAGAAATTTTTGACACTCAATAGTTTACTTTTAATGTAGAAATAGTTTAGTTTCTATGATCATTTTTTTTTGGGTGTACCCATTCTTACTCACTGGTCTTGACTTGTCAACTACACACACATGTACATAACATGTTTTACATGTATGTATTCATTTATTGCGTCATAAAATTTCGCCCTAAAAAACAGGGCAAATTGGCCTTTTTGGAAAAACTAACCCTAAAAAATATTTTCCATGGCGATTTTTCGTATATTTAGGGCTAGCCACCCGTATAATAAGAAAATTTTTCGTAGCTTTAGGGCGACCGCGGTTTTAGGGCGACTTTTCTAGTATTTAGGTAAAAATTTCTATGAGTGCATTTAAAGCGAATGTTTAATGCTACAAACTTATTAATTGCATAAACTAAGAAAACAACTTATTATTTACCTGTTTAGGTAAACTTTGTTTCGCAGTTACTTATCTGGTCTGTTTTGCCCTACCCTGATAAAAAACCAATTCCTTCCTCTGGTTTCCAATTCGCCTTACTCGCTTTAACCCTTGAGACAGCTCGAAATGATTTGCGACAAGCTGAATCGATTGTATTGGCAACAAGTGGGTTTGCGAAATCCGGAATTGTTCATCGATTCTGGCGCCCAACGACCCACCAGCCCTCCAACTCTCCAACCCACTACCACCCGTGGTCCTTGTGCCTGGCACATGTCAACATCGGTTTATATCCGTGTTTTTTATCACCCGCTCAGCCAAGTAGTTTTCCCCGATTTTCGCCATCGCTGGTGCAAATAAACAAAAAGCGTTATAATAATATGCCATGCTCGACTAGATTGCGAATTGCGGGATAGGGTCGTTTGTTTCGCCGAGTTTTCCATATCCTGTTTGCGGTTGGGTGGGTTTTGTGGCTGTGACGAAATTTGATTCGACATTTTTAGCGCTGCAAATCCAATGATCAGCTGTCAGTTTATTTCGGACTAATTGTGGTCTCTGCTAAATTTCGAATGGTCGGCACTCGAGGACTTTTACAAAAACGGAATGTGGGAAATAAAATGTGTTATTTAAATTAACCATCTCTGTCTTTCGCCGTGTCTCCATTTACTTTTCACCGTCCATCTCCAAGAACCTGATATAAATTGCATTTTAACTTTGCTTCATTCCATTCCTTCATTGTAATTTTTCTCCGTTCGCTGCGCTTTTAGCAACAAAGTTTCCGTCTAAAAGGAAATCCTTGATAAATTGTCACAGAGCGGGGGAATTTTTATCAACAATTTTTGTGCAACCTTTGGCTGCACTCGTTGAATGAAGTTATTCAAAGGTTCTTGTTTATTACGACGTATTTCAATGTGGCCATTTCCCTAAGTCCCTTGCCAGCAGTGTCCTGTTATTTGAATCGCGGAAAAAGTACTTGATTTGGGTCAAGTTAACATCGTTCCGGGAAAATGGGGCAAGTTTTTCGGCCGCTTGTCATTTGCATCGATAAGCGTGCCCACTGCCTCAGCACTAATAACAATACGTTCAGTAAGCCAAATAATCGCGGCCAACACACTGAGAAAAAATAATGTTGAATAAAATTTTGCAAAAAGAATTTAAAATTATCATTAAAAAAATAAAAAATCACATTATCAAAAATGTGTGATATTTGTAGAAATAAACTATCTATTAAAATGCTGAAATACCTTAGTTTATAGTTTTAGAAATACCTATGTCTTATAGTTTCAAGATAATATATTATTTAAAAAAATCATAATCTATAGTATTCCGAATCATAATTTACTATGATTACATATCTTTAAATAGTCATTTTCTAAGTTTAATTCCTAGTAGCAAAAATATAATTAAAACGCATTTTAAATATACAATTTTTATTATGCTATCAATACACCTCCCATTTATTTTCCTTTTATTTTTTTCGAGTGCCCAATAACACTCAGTCGCGGGCGGGGGAAAGCAATTTGAGTCCTAATGAGCAAAGCGGCCAACTCACTGGGAAGATCAAGTCTTTGTCCTGCCGATAAAAAATGATAAGCCAAAGGCGAGGCAAACGCGAAAGTGAAGGCCGCAGCTGCTGGCCGAAATCCCGAGGCAGGGGCAAGGATACGTTTTAGTACACTGTTATACGGGACTGTGGGAGTATGACAGTCGTCGTTCGGAGAAGTGCGATGACCACCCACCCACATTTGCATGCCCGGCGCGTTCGCGGAGCTGAGTTCTTTTATGTGGCCATTTGGCCGCCCTCGAGCTGTTTTGATATTTTATTTTCATACATTTTTATGGGCTAGTAAGCAAATTGTCGGGGCACAAGGGCGGTCTAGGTCTGGGAAATCCATGTGCAACCCGATGATGGATTCGAAAGTGGAAAAGTGTAATTAATTTTAAAGCTCAGTTGTCAACCGGCTGCCGGAGTCTACGAATTTGGCAAATGACGGCTACGCTGCTTTGGCCGCAAATTAAATTGAAAGCCTTCGTTCGGTAATCTAGGAAATAGAAGTGAAATCCCGGGAAACTGAACAACTGAACAACCGAACAACCTGCCAACTGCCGATTCATTGTGCGTCAAATTAATGACAAAGTAAAATCCACAAAAAAGCCGAGCACGAAGCAGAGCGAAGAAAGTTTGCCAGCATGACAAAGAGCTTTCCAAACACGCAAAATCAGCGACAAAGTGGAAAGTCTTCTTTAGTTTACCCTCTTTGAGATTGTCAGTAGTATAAGATCATTAAATGCATTGATATAGCCTTGCAGAAATGAAAGTGCAGAAATTCCTCGAAGTCTTCTTCCGAGAAATCATCATTATGTTGGAAAATATCTCTGCTATGAACGATATTTTCTCTACACACAAAAAAAACCGGCCGGGATCAAATCGATATGCGCGTAGTCAATTTCTGGTATTTATACGCATATCGTTTTTACCAATTTCTTTCTCTCGAAGATTCTCTGACTTAAATTACGTGAGAGGGATTGAGCAGATTCGAGCTTATCAAGTCAAATTGATATCAAGTTTTTTTTGGTGTAATACCTGTTCCTGGCAATCTTGGAAGTAACTTTTTGGAGCCCCATATTCTGACCATCAGTGGTGCTTCGTTTCCCTTCAGAGGAATGACCACAGGCATCCGGTGGTCGGTGAATGAAAAATCCTCGATGGGCGCAACTTTCCGCACGCAGACCGCAAAATGCGAACTTCGTTCGAAGGCAGTGAGATTTGGCATTATCCCAAAAATGTTTCAAACGCACGGCAAACTAATCACGGATGCAATTCGAGGAGCAGTCGCCACAGGAAAAAGGACCACATGCACTATTCGACTATTCCGCTGCGCAGCCCAAAGCAAATTCGCAGACAAACACACGAATCCGAATCAGAATCCCAACCAATTTTGTAATGGTTGCGTACTGGCAAAATTTGGCAAATCCAATAAAATGTGAGGGTGGGCGTTGGGCGGTGGGCGGGTTTTTCCGTAGGCGTGCCAATCCAATTGGAAAAATTGCCAAACAGTCCGGTCAATTTCTGTCCAAGTGTCGGCATTGCAAGAGGCACCTGAAAAACAAAGCCAGATATGCGGAGAATATGCTGTGCTAATGGAAACAGTGCCGTTTTAAAACTGACAAAGTGGCTTTAAGGCTTCGGCTCACCTTTTTCCGGAGATCTCAGTGTGTTTCCACAAGGGGCCCTGACCTTTAGTTAACTTTTCATAATCGATGAGCCGGCGAACCGCATATTGAAGGGGTGGTATCACGCCCACGCCCACGCCCTCTCCCAATTCAACCCCCCAGACACAATAAAGGGTTTTCAACTTTGACCCTGCGCCTTTTTTATATTCCTATACTCGCCCTTTACCCATAGCAATAATAACAAGTGTGGCTGGCGTAAAGTTTTGGCAGCCCAAAGTGGCTCAAGGAATATATTTTTTTAGGCCCATCCTGCCTTTTCAGCTTCCTTTTTTTCTACAGCCCCCCGGGGGTGTGTCTGTGTGTGTGCTGCCGAAGTGAATGTGGTGCGAAAAGTGTTTTAAAATGAGGATGCTCGGCTTTAAGCATAATGACCAACATTTCCAAGAGGTGAGTGCAAATGGCTGGCTTTTATCTGGAAAAACAAGGGAGAAAAAGAGTTGATATCCCGGAGGAACATAAAATAATCATAAGCATAATGAAAGGGTTCGAACCTGTGGGTTACTTTACCTAAACTTTAGGCTTAAAATGGATTTAACAGAATGCCAAATAAGTTTGGTGTTCAAACTTGGCGCCCAGTGTCATAGCAGTCAGCATTTGTGAGGCCTTCTGACCGTTTAGTATTTTTCTTAGTATTTTTTACATGAGGACAGCAAAGTGCCGGGTGGGTATGGTTAGACATTCCAGAAACGGTCACACTTGGCAGAGTTCTTGCAAAAAACAAAACAATCTTAAAACTCAGGCGAATTTAACCAAATTAAAGCTACCAAAATGACGCAGGACATGCTGCTGGGCAACGAGGAGCCGAGCAAGAGCAAGGAGACGTTCCTGGAGAAGTTCTGTGTCCTGGCCAAGTCGACCACGGGCGCAGCCCTGCTGGATGTGATTCGCCAGGCCCTGGAAGCCCCAAATGTCTTTGTTTTCGGCGAATTACTGGCGGAACCCTCCGTTTCGCAGGTATGTTTATCACTACACTTAATTATAGCCCTCTGATCCCTACTCTGAACCCAAACACAGCTGAAAGACGGTCCCGATGCCAAGCATTTCGAGACTTTGAACCTCTTCGCCTACGGAACCTACAAGGAGTACCGCGCTCAGCCCGAAAAGTTCATCGAACTGAGTCCCGCCATGCAGAAGAAGCTGCAGCACCTGACCATCGTCTCACTGGCCATCAAGGCCAAGAGCATTCCCTACGCCCTGCTGCTCAGCGAACTGGAGATCGACAACGTCCGCCACCTGGAGGACGTCATCATCGAGGCCATCTACGCAGGTGAGTCTGTCTAAGGTTTAACGGGCTCGAAAAGATGAAGGGTGATCTTCAAGTTATTATGTAGGTCTTAAACTGTACTGTTGGTACCTGTAATAATATGTCATACTGAAAATCAATTCCAACTTCAATAGTTCTAATTTTTCACTTTAGGAATCATTCTGAACAAACAGAAAAAAAGTAATATTAAGCTATAATATTAGCGATTTAAAATTTATAAAAAAAACAAGGAAGGAAGCCAATTCGTATTTCACAGTTTATATATAATATACTTGCAAATCGCTCTCGTAACAGCTACATATGTGTATGATAATTATCATAGAAAATTTCAAGTTAATTTGAGAAATTATACAATAATTTGATATTTTTATTCACTTGCGTGTAGATTTAACAAAACCAAATTATGGAGGTTCCATAATATAGTTTTTTTGATTTTTATAAAATTTAATTCGTAATATATCCCAGTGTAAAAGAGAATGTGATTAAAAATAGCAAAGCCATAATTATGTTCTATTATTTTCCGATTAATTCTTTGATCGTTCTTATGGCGGATAAGCGAGAGGCAGACAGACATAGCTAGATCGACTTGTCTAGTGATACTGATCAAGAATATAATAGTACCAAGCAATTTTGGCTTCCTCTTATTTTTAGAATTTAAATTTTGGAAAATGAGACTACCAATTAATAGGCTATTTATAAGTTGCAACCTACAATAGTTACAATACACATATATCGATAATCTCCGATTATACATTCGCGAACTCATTAGCACATTTTCGTTATTCTTTGATAAGTTTTTAAATAACTTAACAGATACAGATAATATACTTTCGCTCGAAAGACATTGAATATTATTTTTAGCAAGAAGAAACTCGAGGAAACCTGGAAAGTTAAGCCCTACACCAAGTTTAAAAGAGAGTCCTCTCTTTTCCCTTTATAGTTGCGAACTTATTCATTTTCTAGTTAGCAGTCCTCAAGTTTCAGTGCCTGCTGACAAATCTCGTTTGCTGCATCCCTCCTCGTTTGCATTATTAAATCAAATGCGAATTTTTGCCTACTTCTCGCCGAGGAGTGAGCGACTCCTTCGTTCAATTAGCATTTTTGAGCGGCTGTACAACGCGCCGACGGCCCATCAGCTGTAAAAGCAGTCGTATCGCAAAGTCCTGTTGCCCCACCCAGTGGCCAATTGCCACCTTGCGTCGCCCACGTAGCACCACCCATTCGTGGCCACCATTCACCAACCACCGCCCGTCGACAGCCTTTGGGCAGTGCACTTGATTAGCCGGGACAGCTGGCGCATCCTGGCAAAACGAAAACAATTGGGCGAAGGAACGGGGATTGTGCTCGGCGAGATTCATTAAGCCAGTCGGTGTGGCGCCCCACCAGTTGATTCTCCACTCCCCATCCCCGCGGGGAAACAGTTTTTACGGCTGCCAACGTCGTCAGCTGGATGAACACTTTTGCCTCGATGATTTCCTTTCTGTGCTCACGCCTCGTTGGCCTCCCTACAGTCAAACTTCCCTATATAATTGCCACATAAAAAGTTGACTTTAAGTCTAAGGTTAGGGGACCATTTCTAAAAATATTCCCAGGAGGGGAAGTTGCGTGGGGTCAATTGAAAAGATTATACTTACTGTTGAATACAAATTTGTATTCTTTACTTAAAAGTAGTTGTGAGAAAAGAAAAGTGATTTAAAACGGATACTTTCGTATTCCATTTTGGAATCGATCCTTTAACTCACTTTTATAATTACTTTTTTTTGAGAAGCTTAGAAACTATTTAATAGTTTATATTTCACTTGCCCTGCTGTATTATTTCATTTAGAAAAAAGTAAGCTAGGCCTGAGATTAAAATGAGCTGGCAAGTACGATGTTTGCTGATGATGTGCATCATTTTCCCACTACTGCATGGAAACTTCCAATTCATCATTGGACACAGCCGGCACAGGCTGCATATTTTACACACTTTCCACTTGTACTTCCGGACCCGTTCTGCTTCTGTCTGCCGAAAGCCGTAAATCAAACGCAACACCCAGAAGCCGGGGCCCAAATATCGCACTCGGAAACATCGCTCGTGTAAGCATACTTAGGGCCCTCGAATGTGGTGCTAAACGTGTTGGTGCTGTTGATTTTTGAGCTTTGCCCGTGATCTATGGGCGGAGCAGCAACAACAAACAGAAGCTGTGTAATATGGGGCCGGGAAACGAGCCCTTCAGGCGGATTTTCGGTTAGTGTTGGGTTTTGAGCGGCTTCCGACAAGTGTCCACTCGACATATACATGGAACAATCCAAACAAACATGCCGGAACACAAGGGCCGGAGAATATTTAATGGCGGGCCAAAGGCAAATAGCATTCAGCAGTTTTTAATGGAGTCTTGGCCGTCCATTATGTGAGCAAATAAAGTGACAACTCAACGCCATCTGGACCATAAATAAAGTCTCCCCCAGGACCGGCGAGTACACCTCGAAGCGTCGCCTCACCTGGCCCTCCTAATTGCTTTCCAAATCCGGGCAATGAACAGACAAATAAATTCCCCCGCTACGGGCAAGATTTATGTTATGATAGCCATCATTAGGGCGTCATTTGGAGTGGCAGGAGGGCAAGTGCCAGATGCCCGATGCCCGATGCCTGGCGGAATGCGAAATCATTGCGTTCTATTAGGCGCCGTAATCTGACATCGCAATTTAATGTAGTTGGCTGGGGCGGAGGAGGTGGCTCCATTAGCCGACGGGCAGGTGGAGCGGTTCCCTCGCCCGCGATTCCAGGCTATCCCATTAGAGCATCATTTGTCTGGCGGCTCGTTGGGATGGGGATATGGTAATTAAATGCGCTCTATAATTGAAATTCGCTGGATATTTATTTCAGCTGGTTCCATTAGTGAGCGAGCTCTTCTTGATTGATTTGAGACTGAAGTTTGGAAATAAATATTTATCGAAATGTAAGCTCCTTATTTTGGGAAGACTTTTTACTTTCACACATTTATAGTCATTCTTCAGTCTTTTAGTTTGGGTGAAGTAGCTGCCACATAAAGTAATAAAGTGCAATGCTATGAAACTCTAAATACGTCGTAAAATTCCTCGAGAGTAAAAAATATGAGTGACTACCCGCAAATATGCTGCCAGCATGCACCTTTGGCATCTGCTCTAAAAAATCGATGCCCCCGGCATTCCATTTCCACGACAGCCCCAGTGGCTTTTAATTTCCCTGCCATTTTCAAATATTTTCCCAACTGCCTCCAAACTAGTTTTCCTGCAATAACATCCCATGCACCAGCAGTGAAATTCAGAGACTCGCTGGAAAGTAAGCAAAACGTGTTCATACACCCATGTAGAAGGATGCCGCCAAATTTCTCCGAGGACTCCTCCCTTTCAGTTACCGTGTTGTGTGTTTCGAGTTGCTGGGAATTGCAGAATGTGTCGCGGAATGCGCCTGCCTGATTGTAGTTTTTTTGGTGCACTTCCTTAATTTCTTTTGTATGTCAAAGAAAAGTTTCGCATAATTCAGGGTGCTTAAAAGCGGCTTTTGAACTTGTTTTTTTCGCCCTGCCGGGGCTGGGGGATTTGCAATTCAGTGGGAAGTAGGATGATTTTGTTTGGCGCGGGCGAGCTGTAAAAAAGTTTAAGCGCTAGCCACTTGTGCATAACATTTTGTGAATGGGCCGCAAAAAGTGTAAACCCCTTTCGCAATCGGTTAATTAACAGTATACCAATGGCTGGCGCACTGCATGAAAATCGGCTCTTATTCCCTGAAAAGCTGTTACATCAAAGGCCAGTTTACCTAAATGAAAAGCCACGACCTTGCCACAAAGCCGAATATTCAAAAGCGACGCAGCTCGGAGATAATTTTCCGTCCTCGCGCTAAATCAGGACTCATCCGACTCCTCAGGATCCTCCGATTGCGCAGCTGTTTTTGATTGCATAGTTTTCCGCGCCAGGGGCCCAATGCAGTGAGTTGGCCGGGAAAACTTTCGGGAGGGCGAGTTTCTGTGGGTGGCTGCGTCGAGCACTTTGTCAGCTTTAGGTGAAAACTTTCCCGCAGCTATCCACAGCCTCATATTGATGGCACAAGTTTCCAGGCCGCTCGCTTGCGGTCAACAGCGAAGTGTGTGGTTCGAGCTACCAAAAAAGGCTGATTCCAGCACTAAAATCCAATATCGAAGAGTAAAAGGTTAACTAAATATTTAAACCTTGGTTTAATTTGACCACGAAGCTCCTGATTCTTGTTCTTGTTAGAGGGATTGAAGCCAAAAGGTATTTAAGCAAAAACGGTTAATTCTTTACGATTTTATTATTATTGCTTACGCATCTTATTTAAGTAGTTTCAAGTTTAAGTTTATTTTAAAGGTCTTGAATAATTAAAAAAAATAGCCAAACTCGGCTAGTAGAAAGCTAAAATAACAACACTTTTTTGATGAGCGCACCCTTTACCAATTTTATCTTGGGCCATTGTCCTTGCCTTCCTCTGAGGTTCGGTTTTTGTGCAGAATTTCAATTAATAACTTCTATTTCTGTGCGGGTAAGTGGGGAACTGTCTGAAGAGTTGCCCAAGCTGTCAGCGACAGGTGCCCAGAAATCGAGACCGAGACTTATGGACTCCTTTTAATAAATAAGTGGTATGATCCCAGGTCCCACACGTCAGAAGTACTTATGTAGAGTATGTGGGCAGATTTGGGACTTGTTGCCAACAGAATTCACTTATTAAATGATGTGTAACAGAAAAACTACAAGAAGATACAGGCCGAAAGACTTTGGTAGCTTTTATTTATTCAAATAAATAAAAACAAAAGGATATTTTTAAATGGAACTAACTGAAATGTGAATTTCGAAATTTAATTGCTTACACATTATTTTTTTAGGATTAAAACTGAAATACTGAATGAAATATATTCTTTTTTCTTCTTTTTTTGCCGTCATTGAATTTTCTATTTCAATTTTAAAGTCCGTTTATGAATGAATTCTTTATTCCGAATAATTCTATCCCCTCTTTTATGTATTAAAAACTAGGTTCGTTGAATCGTTTTTCCGTTTGTTCCGTGGCAACTTTAAATTCAGAGTCCTTTTTCCATGACACCAAGGGCACTCATGCATTGGTGGTCAAATTCCCGAAGGTTCCCTGCCATGGCCTGCCGCTATCCAACGTTTTTATTCAGCTCTTGATGGCCGCCCCCATTTGATTTTCATCAGCAGTCACCACAGAACCACAGCCGCCGGCGGTTTGACATCAGCGCCTTCTGCCGCTCCGAAGATTCATTCTTCTGTCCGTCAACGGCTTTTTGCGCAATTTGCGGGCGGAGCAGTAAGCATGATTGATTGCTCTGGCGTTGAATTTCACGCACGCGACAGTTGGCGCCCACAGCCTTCGGATGGGTGAAAATACAAGACACATGTCAACGCCGGAAAACCGCACGCATTTTACAGCACTTGCGGCGGGAATCGGGAATCCGGAGACGGAATCCCTTTATGCTTTGAAATTATTCAGAGCGCTCTCGAAGGCGTCAAATCAATAAGCATTTTTGCGCCAGCTCTCAGGCTAATTAGAAAAGTGTTTGACAAATTGTCGAACCGAATCCGAATTGTCGCCGGGCGTCGAAGGGAGTGGATGCGATGCGAGAAATTGAATCTCCGGGCGAATTCCGTGCATATTTGAGTGAATATTTATGACACAAAGTCGGTGCCATAAACACAGAAACTTGGTCCGGGGACTTGGTCCTGTTTCTGTGCACTCGTTCAAGGACACAAGTGGTCGTAAAGTCAAAGGCAAAGAGCGCTCAAGGACTTAACTTGGGCTTAGCTTAGCCGTGGCCAAAAACGGGGCAAAAACGGGGAGGCGCTGTCACTTAGCCACTTCCTCGGCCGAGAAAAGTTAGGGCCATGGGCCATAGTTCGGCTCGGTGTGGAGAGATTCTGTTTTCGGGACTTTGCCCTGCAACTGGGACTCACAATCCTGTCAGCCAGGATGAGAACGTTTCCCAAATCCGCTTGTTATAAATTGTAATCCCGCAGAGGAGCTAAAAACTGAACGACGATTTCAAATTAATTACTCAAGCTCAGACGACTCTTGATGTCGGCCATCGCACCAAATTGCATTTTCAGTTCTACGCTCGCTGGGCGGTATTCTCGGTAATTGAGTCCGCACTACAAAGCTAATCGTCCTTAAGCCACTCTCATTCGGCTTAAAGAGCTGGCTCAAAAGAATCGAAAACAGCAGTTAAAACGTGGCTTTTAGACTTCCCAATATATGTGACTCAGTCACCGCAATATTTGCTCAACATTTGGGATTTTGCGTTGCGGACTTACCGGATTTATGAAACTACAGCTTCCATTTGCTTGATTGTAGCCAGTTTCAGTTTGTTATTTTTGCACTCACCTAACCGTTTTCTAATCAGTTTAATTGATTGAGCGTTTGCAGCCATTGTTGGTGTGGGGTAAAATTGAGGGTGATTGATTGCGAACTTCTGGTTGGTAGCTTGAAGAGGGATTGGGAATTATCATTAATTTGGGAATTGTAAATAATCCGAGCAGCTCGCTGGCTACTGTTTAAGCTACAGCTGTAAATCGATGAATTTTAACAGACACATTTTTGGATTTCAGGTGTGTAATCAATTGCTTAATCCGAGAATGTAGCTTGTCGAAATTCAATTTATTTAAAAATACCTTGTTACTTACCGAAATATATTTCTAATAAATTTATTTAGAAATGTTATTTGCTCTTTTCTTAAAGAAAATACTTCAACTTTCTTTGAAATAGAAATCATTAGCAGTTACTTGTGCACATTTAGTTAGAGTTTCAGTTATTCTACTGAATGGGTACTTTTGGGGCAACTGTACCGTCGTCCATAGGCACCATCACAAAACTTGTTGCAGTGGCCTCGAGTGCACTCCAAAGCTGGCACTTGAGGCGACACTTTGGCCAACTTCAGAAACTGTTCGTTCTGGGCAATTAGTCAGAAAAAAGTTGACAACAAGCTTTGGCATGCAGGCAGAGCGCTAAAAGGGAAAAACTTTCTTATTTTCGCTTTAAATTCTATACACAGACATCATCCACGGAAAGCTGTTCCAGAACACACGCATTTTGGAGGTGGACTACGCCCAGGGTCGCGACATTCCGCCCGGATACACTGGCCAGATCGTGGAAACCCTTCAGGCCTGGGTCAACTCCTGCGATAGCGTCTCCAACTGCATCGAAATGCAGATCAAGTACGCCAACGCCGAGAAATCCAAGAGGCTGATTAACAAGGAGCGTGTGGAGCAGGATGTGAGTTTGATTTAAGTCGCACATAACATTTTCTAATGTAAGAAACCCTGCTTACATTCTTACAGCTCATAAACCTGAAGAAGGTGCTGAAGAGCCAGACATCTGACAGTGATGAAAGCATGCAAATCGACACCCATGGACCAGGAACAAGCAGCGGCTTGGGTCAATCGGAGCTGCGCAAGAAGCCTTCGAAGCTGAGGAATCCTCGCAGTGCGGCAGGTGGGTTTTGCAGCTGAAGAAGAGGAGAAATCACTTTGGAGAACACCAGCCACTCCTGCACAATCTTCATTACAAGGCCATTAGTTTGAAGCATTCTCATTAATTGTCTTTCCTCACCCACTGGGTGTTTTTCCTTCTTCCCGTTGCAGTTGGCCTGAAGTTCAGCAAGTGAGATGAGGCCGGTCGAGCGGATGAGGAGTCAGGAGCTGGTTCAAACGAAGCCAGGCGTCGCTCAAGGTCGCAGGCATACCCGCGTGGAACTTGAGGACCGAGTCCGCTCGACCGTCGAAGGATCTCTTCCCCCAAGCTAATCACTTCAAAACTCACTTCGATTCGCCAGAACAAATGCCGGCTGTCCTTGTAATGGATTCCATAATTAGCATCAAATTGATCACCATTAAATAACAAATACAAAACCTGTAATAATAGAACTATACATCAAAATGCATATTAATTAGACTATTTATTTATCCACATCTGCGTGATTGGCTCGTTTAAATGGCATGCCATTGCGCCCACATGGGCAGCTTTAGATGGGCGTTTAATTAATGTCAAAATAATTCGGGTTTAGACAAATGTTTACTCGACACATACGTATAAATATAAATGTTGCGTGCTGTGGTCTCTCAGCACATATGTAAATATTGCCGTTCAGTGGTGTTATTTGTGGCTAATTACCTGCAGCAAATTGAATTTATCCGTAGGTCCTTTGATGCCAGCTATCATTAGCACTTGAGGTCGATGATATTTTGAATTGTTTTTATTTAATTATGACCGCACATGGTGAATTCACACGGCTGTGATTTATTAACCATTTTTGGGTAAATAGTTTTTCTACTCCAGTTGCCGATCTTTTCCTCGATTAATAAACTGCATTAAATTAGCAAATTTATGGATGTGTGCAATCGCACATGCAATTAGTGCAAATACAAATGAGTATTTCTGAGCAAACACGTTTATTTACCGAAGATACCAGCTGCACTGGACAAAGCTCTGCTCATTATGTTCCTACATAGTAGTGAAACTTGTGCTCAAATATTAAAGTGCAGCCAGTCCTTGTAATTTGATTTCGCCACCTCCCCTTCCCCAGAGAAAAGATAGTGTGCCGGAGAAAGTGGGAACAATAAAGCATTCTGTCAGATGTGCAAAATACTTCCCCCCATAAGGAGGGAGGTCTGATGGCAATTACTTAATTACATTTCAAGCTTTTGTTTCTGAGGAAAGCTGTCTGAAACCACAGAACATTTTCAGACGGATGAAACACGTTTGGTTGGCGGAAAGTTTCAAACTGTTAATTTACATATTTGCACTTAATATTTAAATTACTTCCAAGCATTAATCAAATTGCAGGTCTTTTTAAAATGGCAGACGGCTGGATCTTATTCATAATTAAAGTAGCTTTACTTAAAATCTTAACAAAAAAAAAACGAATCCAATAAAATATCAACAGGAAACTTTAAACCGAAATTAAAGCATGCATCAATCAGTTGATTCCATGAAAAAATATCCATTTATGATTTAATTTATAGAACTGTTTTCCATCAGAAAAAGGCTGGTATACAACCGGGAGTACAAAAATATCATGGAAAACTAGAAATGGTTCAAGCAAATTTTTGGCTGTGTACCTTGTCATTTTAAATTTTTTTCTGATGATAACTTTGGCTTCGGAACAAAGCCTATCGGGCCCAAAGCTATATACATTTTTTGACAATGTTGTTGCTGGGATTCCCTCCAGGTGTTTTCACTGGGGCTGTTTGGGTTGTTTTTATGGGAATCGCATACCGGATCCTAACTGGTTATGTTACTCAGAACTTTGTTATTGAAAAATAAGAGCAGTAAAAATTATATTTTTAACAGCTTGGCGACAAATTTCAGCTTTATGCCTTTTTTATTTTGTATATTCGCGCTTTTTGGCATTCAGTTTCTAATATAATTCTCTTTCAATCTTCATTGGCAATCGGGTTTCTGCCATGATAAATTATCGAAAATGTTAAAGTTGCCTTTTAGACAGGCTCTATTAAAATCTAGGGCAGATTAAATTTATTCAGAATATTGTGAGCCAGTTTTTGGGATAACTAGAATGTTTGGAGTCAGCTGTTTTAAAAAGAAATTTGAATTATTAAAATTGCATATTAAATAAAGGCCAAGGAAGTTTATTGACAGTCAATCTCAATGGAATATTTTAAATACAGGTAATGGTTCAGTATGTAAGGTTAGTGGACGCTGTTGATGGGCGAGTTTCTTATCGTTCAACTTGATGCTTTAGAATTTATTTCCGCTGTGTGAAATTTTTGTATCTCCACGAAACTTTTGAAGTTTATTGGTGCTTAAAAGTTTAGGCCCTTTAGTTACTTATCGGCAAATCAACTCGAATACAGCTCCGATAAAAAGCGATTTGTGAGATTCTGGTTTACCTTATTAATTAGGAGAAATTATCAAAGAACTTTTCCGGTTTCTCTGATAAACGGCTATGATAAAAATCAAAAGGGACAATGCATTATGTTACACATATTTCCCCTTCCATTTGGTAGATTCTGTTGCCAATAAACCTTTCGCTTTCTTTGTATTAAGTCGGTAAGTCGGTCAATATTAATCTTGACCGAATTACCATACACTCATAGAAATTTTTACCTAAATACTAGAAAAGTCGCCCTAAAACCGAGGTCGCCCTAAAACTACGGAAAATTTTCTTATTATACGGGTGGCTAGCCCTAAATATACGAAAAATCGCCATGGAAAATATTTTTTAGGGTTGGTTTTTTCAAAAACGCAAATTTGTCCTGTTTTTTAGGGCGAATTTTTATGAGTCGACTCCAAAAGTAATTCCTTCTTTTTAGGGCGAAATCGCCCTAAAACGCAGAACAAAATAGCCAAAAATATGTTCTGAAATTGCCCTAAAAACAAGGAAGAGTCAAACGAAATTCTAAGACGCAATTAATGGATACATATGTAATATGTGTGTATGTGTGTGTGGTTGGCAGGTCAAAACAAGTGAATGTGTGTGTATATTAGGGCGGACCTTTTTCTATGAATTTTGATGCTGAGCGCATTTGACTTTAGAGAAGTCCACCCTTTTTCTTCTTCTTTGCTACTTTTCGTCCGTTGCAGTGGCAAGGGTGGGGGTAAAAAGAGTTGCATTGTCTAGACTTTGTCATAATTTTTCGGGCGCTTAGCGGCGAAAGACGTGTTTGTGAAAAAGTGAAAAATGTAAACGCTATTAAAGGACTTGGGAGGCGATTCTTTCTCAGTTTTCTGGTGAGTACATACATATATAATTGTGCAATTTGGATATTAATCACTAATTGAATTTACATATCTGTAACAGAGGAAAATGCAGCTGAAACTTAAAAAGATTTGACTGGAAGCAGCGGTCCAGATGTAGAGGTTTGGAAGTGTGGCAGAACAAAGTAAGAACATTAACAAGAGTATACATATACATATGTATGTGTATATGTAAATAATGCTTAAGGTAAAAAGATGATGCAACAGAATACACACATTTTTTACAGATGTATATATTTGCCAGAAATCTGTATTTATGCACCGGACAAACCGCATTCACAAGTGCATATGCCAAAATCACCCCCAAATTTCTATTGCGTCATTTCGTCAGTAACCGAAATTTGCTTTTGTTGCTTCTTTTTTTCCAGAAGTAGCAGAAAACGCAATCGCAGGCTAAATGAAAATTTTGACTGTTAGTAGTGCATTTTTATATTAATTTCTAACAATTTTTTTTCTTGTTTTAGATTGAGAACGCAAACCACTTTTCGCACTTTTTAAAAGCGAAAGTAAGGGAATAAAACTGCTCAAATCTGTGGAAAGCCACGCTGAAGGTATGTGCTTTTTCTCTTTTTCTTTTCTCATTCAATAAACAGACTGTTTTTATTTAATAGAGATACAATCAACTTTAATTTGGCTTGCGATCCATTCAGTGTTGGTGCGACAGCAATGACAAAGAAGGACGGCGGGAGCAAGAACGCGAAGCACACCATTGCGGACCCGCGAAGCCGTTTCTTGGTTTGGAAGGCTACTGTTGGGGAACTGCAAACACATCTAAAGGCATTGACGGAAAATTGCAAATCCGGAAAGCCGAAACTGCAACCATTCAGCTGCAACGTGGGAACAAGCCCTTTTTGACCTTGGTGAATTTCCAGTTTACCTATCAGAGGTTTTTTTATAGAATGCGAACCTTATTGAAAAGTATTGATGTGTGCTTCAAAATATTTTTTGTTTTAAACCACCATTTATCCAAAAAATATTTTATGAAATTCATTTAGAGTCTGATAAGAAAGGTAGAGCTTTATCCGAACTCTTGGAGGATTATAAAACCTTAAAACTGTAACTATTTTAAAGAAACAATCTGTTCATTCAAAAAAAATATTATTTCTATGCATTCAATTAGAAGTAAAATTTGATAATCAGTACTTATTGTAATAAACCTTAAAAGACCTAAAATTCCCTCCGGCGGAAGCACACAACCTAAAGACCAAAAAATACATTAAGCCAAAACATTATTTTTAAGATCGATGTAATTCTTTTAGCAATAAGAATAAGTAGAAAAGTATGTAAATGTATATAATTAGAAATTGTGTAAATAACAACAAACAAAAATATAAAAAAAACAAAAAAAATATAATGAAATCGTATTTTTATTTTAAAAAAAAAACCGGGAAATTTTGGGGAGCACTTTGCTTTTTTTAGGGCAATTCGCCTATAAATCCAGAAAAACGCCCTAAATTTATGAAAATCTGCCTTTAGTTTCAGGATATTTTTTCATATTTCTAGGGCAATTTGCCCTAAAATCCAGAAAAACACCCTAGATTTATGAAAATCTGCCTTTAGTTTAAAGGTATTTTTTCCGATTTCCAGGGCAATTCGCCTATAAGTCCAGAAAAAGCGCCCTGGATTTAAAGGAAACTGCCTTTAGTTTAAGGGTCTCATTTCCTATTTTTAGGGCAATTAGCTTTGAAAATAGAAAAATCGCCCTAGATCTACGAAAAATCGCCCTAAATGTGTGACAAATTCACCCGTATTTTTAGGGCAATTTGCCCTAATTTTGTTGCCTAGTCGCCATTGACCCCCGTTTTAGGGCGATTTTCCTTGTTTTTAGGGCGATTTTACCGGAAAATTTCTATGAGTGTATTGTTTTTAACGTGCTAAAATGAGCTAAGTAAATCGAAGGTGTCAAACGGGTTGAACGAGTCCCAAACCGTTACAGTTTAGCACCAAAGTCAAAGTCAAGGCCACGATCTGGTTACTGCCGTTAACAATTGCGTGTATTTTAAAACTCAGTTAGATTGCTTAAACTAGTAGGTCGAAGGGTATCCAGGCAACAGTCCGTGGTGCGATCCGCTTTCAGTTAGGAGTTCTAGTGGTGGTGCTCGGGAGCCGGTGGGTGGGACTCCAGCCAGGCGACGGCGCGGGCGATGGCCTCTGGGATTGGGGGAGGAGTGGGGATCCAGGCTCCCGAGGGCTGGTATCCGTTCTCATCGGCCACATACTTGATTTCCACGTGCTCGCCCTCGGGGGAGATCCATGCGAAGTTGCCGTGGATGTTGCCATGGACATCGCCGCTGGCGGCCTGCTCGATGCCGTTGGAGGTGTGCAGGCTGGAGTCGAATCCATCGGCACGAACATCGTCCGATCGGGAGACGACATCGGCGTGGACATCCTCTGAACGTCCCACGGAGTGGGGCACTGGGGGATTGGCCACCGCCAGTCCCAAAACGGCGCAGATCATAACCTAAACGAAAAGTATGGGGATAAGTTAGGGATCCAAAAGGATGGACTATCCTGTTCGCCACTCACAAACTTGAACATTTTGGCTGATTTCTGTCTGGTCGAGAACGAACGCTGACTGATAACCGTCTGTGGTCGGGCAGAGCCTTTTTATACCATTGCAAACCCAAAGTCAAGCCATAACAAATCGCTACATATTGCATTCAATTGGGGGGCTGAGTTATGGGTTGACTTCGCGGATGCGCCCACACCCATTAAAAATCATCGTCACATGGCGACAGCTTAGCAAATGCCAAACAACGGGATAAGTACTATATATAATCGCTTAATAGATGCTAAAATGAAACACTCGCATCAATAAGGGGCAAACGGGTCGGGTGGCATCCCGAAAGTAAAACGAGTTCGACCCGCCCCTCCTCCAGATAAGCCCCTCTTTCAGCTTGAATTGAGATTGTCAAACAGTGAACCACTTTTGCAGTGCCATCGTGATTCTTCTCTCAGAAATCGAAGCTCGAGTTACTTCAAAAGACCTCACCGACTTCTGGGACACGATGTTTTGTCATACATTATCTTGTATTTCTATTGAACCACCTTGACCATTGCTTCTCTTTCTCAATACCTCTTGGCAATTGCGTTTCAGTTTCTTTTTAGCCAAATCTGAGTGCTGTTTAATGGGATAATATATACTTAAATCTCCTAGCATCTGCTCTTGCTTTATATACCAAGTTAAGAGATTGAAAAAGAAGAGCAACAATTCAGAGTATTAAAATGTTTTCAGTGTTTTAATACCACTTTGAAATGCATCACAAATGGTTATAAACAATTCTTATCTCTCCTTAAAACGTAGTTATATGTTCATTGGTGACAAAGACAACTCTTCGGTTAAATTAACGTTCGAATTCTTAGATACATCAACAGAATTTTTAACAGAAGATTTTTGTTTGCTAAAAACATTTATTGATGTACACTATCCTTCCAGCTCAATTTCGCATTAAAATACATCAAATTATGAAGATTTGGCGTTTATATTATAGCTGGAAGGAAGATTAATGTAGAATCGATATATCGTAGTTCTAATTTTTAAACTAATTTAAACCTAATATTACAGAACCAGGATCATTTTATTAAAATTGTATAATGTGAGTATTAGTGAACGAAAGAGAATTATTAGGTCAATAGCCATTTTAAATGGAATTTTTTTTTATTGAAATTTTTTATTGATTAAAGTACCTACATTTTTTTTTATACAGAACCTATTTTTGAGTGCTTTGGATGGAGATCTTTTAAAGTTGTTATATTATATCTATATGTTATTAAAATATTATTATTCACAGAAATCTGGATCAAAACGCGGGTCTCTAATCATAGAAGAGTCTGACCATTTCTATCTGTACGATACCCCCATAATTTATGTTATGTTATTATGCTTCCAATAAACATTTTGTTGAGCATATCAAAACAAAAAAAAAGTTATTATGCTGATAATGCTAAGGAATAAGTAAGAAATTCGGATACGTTCACCTTTGATAAGGATCTTGTATTGTACCCAGTGGCGGATCCAGGATTTTTTTGGGGGTGATATCAGAACAATTTTTTTGTTGCATACTTTTTGAATACCAAAATTTCTTTCATTTTTCACCCGATCCGCGCATGATTGTACCTATCCCTAACGATTATGACAAAGAACTTGTTTTACTGTTAAAAGCAGGTGCATGTATTTTTTTGAAAGTCAAGAAGTACAGCTAAACAACTAGGGCGATACGTTTCGGGAGAACAATCCGTGGAGTGGTCCGGGTTCAAAATCACGGGTCTTAGTGATGACGGGGATGCTCGGGGGCTGGGGGGTGGGACTGCAGCCAGGCGAGAGCGCGGACAATGGCCTCTGGGATTGGAGGAGGAGTGGGGATCCAGGCTCCCGAGGGCTGGTATCCGTTCTCATCGGCCACGTACTTGATGTCCACGTGCTCGCCCTCGGGGGAGATCCAGCCGAAGTTGCCGTGAATGTTGCCATGGACATCGCCGCTGGCGGCCTGCTCGATGCCGTTGGAGGTGTGCAGACTGGCGTCGAAACCATCGGCACGAACATCGTCCGATCGGGAGACGACATCGGCGTGGACATCATCGGAGCGCGAAACTGGGGCCAGGGCGGTAGCCACTCCCACGACGGCAAGGATCATCACCTAGGTAAAGAGGATTTATCCCAGTAAATTAAGTGTTCATAATCATCCGGTAAACCACACTCACAAACTTGAACATTTTGGCTGATTTCTGTCTGGTCGAGAACGAACGTTGACTGATAACTAACTCTGCTCTGGTATAGCCTTTATATATGATTCCTAATCCAGTTGCTTACCAATATGAATTACTTATTACCTTTTTGGCCGCGTCTAAGTTATCGGGTGCACAAAACGCCCATAATGCCAACAAAAGGCAGAGACCATAAATTCGCCACTTGACACTGCGATACAAATGTCAAAAAACGAGTCTCGCGCTTCTAAATTGATGCCAAAATGAAACATGCTTCAGTAGAACTTTCTGAGGAGTGGTGCAGTACGGGTTTTCAGATTCCGTGCCCATCGATGACGTTTCGAGTTAGCCAAGCCTTTACCTGGTTACCATGTCAGATATTGTCTAACTAATATGTCCTCCCTACAAAGTAATTATTCTGTCTAAGGAACATATTGCCTATGTTATTACATTTTATATATTTATTTATAGTCGCTTATTTCATTAAAAGCAAACTATAGTCATTTCTAATCAAATAAAAACACCTCTTAACGAGGTAAAAAACTAGTGACGACCGCACCTTCAACATACAAAAGTTCTGATATCAACATTTGTGACGAAAAATTATTACACTCGTCATTAAATAGACTTTCTAATATTGTCTCATTCGGCCCGCCCTAGCAAACTATTCCAGCCTTCTTCCCTTTACAGGCATTTTCTATTGCAGCGTGACGAATGAGAAAAGATTAGAAAGTCTATTTAATGACGAGTGTAATAATTTTTCGTCACAAATGTTGATATCAGAACTTTTGTATGTTGAAGGTGCGGTCGTCACTAGTTTTTTACCTCGTTAAGAGGTGTTTTTATTTGATATCAGAAGTTTTTGTTTGTTTACATTTGCTCTCATAGGAGCTAATATATACATTTAAATTTAAATTGGTCAATCATTATTTTTAAACTATTGTATTTTAACAAATTAAGTTAAAAAGGCGTTGAAGTATTTCAAAATACCTTTTAAACGAGGTATAGCACATGTCTGTACCTTTAGTAGTGTAGAACTTACAAACTAACGAAATTTTGCTATTTTTAGCTTTTTCCCGCTAAAGTAGCGGCTTTTTCCAAAAGTCGTAGAACAAAAGATTCCTATATGGAACTCTTAAGTGCAAATTTACTGATTTCATGACCCTAAAATACAGTTCGGATACCCTCCCACAAAATTCAATACTCAGGGAGCGTTAGTTGTTCTGAGCTGGCAAAAGTGGCTATTTTCGTTTCTGAATAACTTTTAAACGCGATTTTTTACATAAACATGATATATACCAAAATTTAAGGAATCTCAAGGGCTATACAGTTTAAAGTTGTAAGGAAAATCGTTAGAGCCGTTTTTGAGAAAATTAAAAAAAGCTAAAAAAAGTTTAAACAAATTTTCTTTTGTTCATATCTTTTTAACTATTACATTTACACAAATTGCATATAAAAGGTGTTTATAGCATTTAAAAATACCTTTCAAACGAGATGCAGCACAAGTCTGTAGCTTTAGTAGTATAGAAGTTACGGCTTTCCGAATTTTAGCTATTTATAGCTGTTTTCCCGCTAAACTAGCGGGTTTTTCCAAAAGTGGTAGAACAAAATTTTTTATATCGATGTGATGAACGTCATATCAAATTTTCAGAACTTAAAAAACATATTTTGGACAAGTGGACAAGTGGACAAGTGGACAAGTGGACAAGTGGACAAGCGGACAAGTGGACAAGTGGACAAACTGACAAACAGAATTAAATTTTCATTTTGGGAAGAAGAAAGAAAATCTTATTTTGGCTATAACTTTTGAACGGAGAGTCGGATTTTGACAAATGACCCCTCATTCGACGGGTATTTTCAAAAGGAATACAACTAAAACATTGCGAGGGGGCATTTATCCCCACCGGCCCCAACAGCTCCAAATTTCGAAATTTTCATTTTTTCACTTTCACCGCTCTCTCTCCCAAGCCAATTGATTTTCTTAAAGTCTTGGTATGCAAACCTGTTAGTTTTCGCAATACCTTTCGATAGGTGTATTATTCATTATGATCGGACCATCACAGTAGATTTTCATTTCTTCGTGTATATATAGTAGTCGCCTTCGCACACTCTTCTGGTGCGCTTCGTCACTACATGGACTGCCGTCCATAGTGATATTCATAAAAATTGTGCGTATGTAATATTTGATCAATTTTATTTAAAATTCATATTTAATATTAAAAGGTCACACATTTCCGTGTATAATAGCGCCTAAACTTCATTTGGCAATTTGTTTTCTAATTTTAATATTTCCTCATATTTGGGACGGCACTGTTTAATTTAACAACCGCTTAAAGCTTTCGGACAGAGTTGCCAATTTAACCCACAAAATTTAAGTAAGCATTTTTGTAGGCTCCAAAAAATATGCAACATACATTGTTTAAATGTGTTAGACAGAAACAATATATTTTTACGGATTACTTTGTTTGTGTACGCAATTAAATACAGATTATAAATTATTCAGTGTCTGGTTTGGTTTGATTTGCATATTCGTAAAGCGTTGGCTTATTTTTGGTTGAATGAGTCCTGAAGAATGTTCAACTTCAATCGAAAGTGGTTAAACCATTTTCCTTTCCAATAGCCAGTTTTAGAATAATTTCAAAAGTGGACTAATTTGCATGCCAGACGGTTTTTATGGTCCGCGTCATCTTGACTTAATTATAAACCCACATTGCAGCAGCTTTCAAAGATATATAAACCCAAATTCGAGCATAGATTGGCATCAGTCTCAGAAGTTTTCTAGTCCGACAATCAAACCAAATCAAAATGTTCAAGATCGTAAGTATGCCATAAGGAGTTTTGGATATTTCGCCGTCTAATCCTGGATTACCCTAGCTGCTTGTCTGCGCCCTTGCCGCCCTCGTGGCCGCCAACGCCAATGTCGAGGTCAAGGAGCTGGTCAACGATGTGACAGCCGAAGGATTCGTCAGCAAGTTGGTCCTCGATGACGGATCTGCCTCCTCGGCCAGCGGAGATGTCCACGGCAACATCGACGGAGTTTTCGAGTGGATCTCCCCCGAGGGCGTCCATGTGCGTGTGAACTACAAGGCCGACGAGAACGGATACCAGCCCCAGAGCGACCTCCTGCCCACTCCCCCTCCGATCCCAGCTGCCATCCTCAAGGCCATCGCCTACATCCAGGCTAACCCCAGCAAGAACTAAGCAACTCCGCCGACTACGAACTGGAATGATTGGAGACAGCTAGCTTGAGTGTGAACTTCCTCACCTGCTGTTTTAAATTTAAGAAAATGTTGTTATAGAATCCGGAAATAAATTAAATCTTGCAATCTTAATCAAGCGAAAGTTTTTTTAATCAGTAAGTTAATTAAAAGACAGAACTAAACCTTAAACTTAAACTAGACAATGTAGCTCGAGGACTTATTTTACAATTTAATTCTTGAAGTTCCAGGCAATATAAAAAACATAAAAAAAATAACAAAGTAAAAACAAATGGTTGAAAATATACCTACTAAAATAATAAAAATAAGAAATCAGAAGATTCTGTAGATTTCATCCATTGCGGTTTTTATTAATTCTAAAAATGTTTTTGAGGTGTTATGACATGTGTTGGATTTATTTGAAAATGTTTATTCTCTTGCAGAGGGTGCTACGATTTTAGTCAGAAATTTGCAACGCAGATAAAATGAAGTACAATTTACACTGAATATAAACTTTTGAAATTGTGTGTGCCAAAATCTGCACAAGAAATTTTAAACTTCTAGCTTTTATAGTTTCCGAGATCTCAGTATTCATACGGACAGACAGACAGACGGACATGGTAGATCGGCTCGATTAGTGATCCGGATTAAGAATATATATATTTTTATATGTATTCTTTATGCGGTCGGAAACGTTTCTTTCTACCTATTATATACTTTCCAAAGAATACAATATACCAATTTTCTATTGCTTTGAGTGACTTTCTTTGGATTATGTTTGCTCAAATAAAAAACACGGAAATATACTTATAAGTTTGCTTATTAAAGTCGAACATTAACTGAAATTGGAAGTTCGCCACTCTCCGAAAAGTATGCTCAACAAATTTGTTTTCAAAGAAAGTTTCGTTACACAGTGCAACATGAAAAATGTAACCGCAATTCTGATTTCATGGGCGGAAAGAACTCATCGAAATAAGCTAAAACCCATTTGGGTTTCTCTGGCTTAGCTCGCGTTTACCTTTTATAGCGAGTTAAAGTGTTTACATACAAAATTTATTTGTAACGGCCATATCTTGTGAACCGATTAAAATTTCACTATCAAGTCTTCAGTGATTATCTAGCTATGAACCCAAGGAACGAAATTGACAAATGACTCTTGCGCACTTAGTAACTAGTGCACCTAGCGCGTTAAAAAACAAATTTGCCTAATTTTTCGTTTTTTAACGCGCTAGGTGTACGTCTTCGCAAGAGTCATTTGTCAATTTAGTTCCTTGGGTTCATAGCTACATAATCACTGAAGACTTGATAGTGAAATTTTAATCGGTTCACAAAGATATGGCCGTTACAAATAAATTTTGTATGTAAAATTTTAACTCAACTAGAAAAAACGTAAATACTCTTATGAGTCTAGCCTAGAGAAAGCCAAATGGGATTTAGTTGTATCATTCGATGAGTTCTTTCCGCAACCATGAAACTCCGAGAAGTTGCGGTTAACAATTTATAACCCTAAAAATGTTGCACAGTGTTATTTATTGAATTTTATTACTCACAAAATATAATTCATTTTCGTCTAAAGCAGGCAGTTTTTTAATTACCCCCAGTCTGGATTTATTTTTAAATAGTCCAGATTTTAATTCAGATGAGCAGACATCGAATTATTCCTAAAAGAAGGTGGTTCTAACCTTTTCGAGTAGCGTGTTGATAGGAATTTTTTTAGAATAATTACGGTAGCAATTTGCATAGACCAGTGAAAGCAATAAGAGTGCAGCAGACGATTTTTATCGACCGCCGAACATGTCACTTCCAACCTGTCCGTGAAACAAACACTCGGCTTATGTTGGCCGAAATGTTAATTAAAAACGGGTTGCATCAGCTTCGGGTTTCGTGGGATGTCGTGGATTTGGGCGTATAAAAGCTGAAAATCGATCCCGAATTGGCATCAGTCTCACGAGTTCTCTAGTCCGACAATCAAACTAAACCAAAATGTTCAAGATCGTAAGTATCTTAGGATCATATTCGGATGGTTCGATAAGTAATCCTGGAATATCCTAGCTGCTTGTCTGCGCCCTTGCCGCCCTCGTGGCCGCCAACGAGAATGCCGAGGTCAAGGAGCTGGTCAACGATGTGAACGCCGATGGCTTCGTCAGCAAGTTGGCCCTGGACAACGGAGTCGTCTCTTCGGCCACCGGAGATGTCCACGGAAACATCGATGGCGTCTTCGAGTGGATCTCCCCCGAGGGCGAGCACGTCCGTGTGAGCTACAAGGCCGACGAGAACGGATACCAGCCCCAGAGCGACCTGCTGCCCACTCCCCCTCCAGTCCCAGAGGCCATCCTCAAGGCCATCGCCTACATCCAGGCCCACCCCAGCAAGGAATAAGCGATCGTTGTGGCGCTAGAACTCAACCACGAATTGTTGCAACCCCGGATGACCTTGCTCTCTAACCCTTAGAATTTAAACAGCATGCTGACTTAATAAGTTTGACTATCGAGTAGTGAAATAAATTCGATATTCTTTGGCAAAAAATGTATTTATTTTGAAGTGTTCTGAAATCTCTAACGGGAGTTTGAGTTGTTTGCGACAGCTGACTTATTCGGACTAAGACAATACAGTCTGTTCCAGACAGTCACGCTCTTACTGGATGTTACTTGATTGATCTAAGCCAATAGTAACCTGTTTAATTACCGATTTACCAAGTGGGGATAATGAAAGCAGAGTTTGTTTGAATTTTTATTGTGTTTCATACAGTAAATTTTAGAAATCAACCTAACAAAAGTTATTCCAGTGGAAAAATTAACTTTTGATGTATTATGCAATAAAATAAAAACGAAACTGGCAACCTGCTCTAATTTAATACTAATTTACAATGAACTGCTAATTAGGATTGCCTATTTGATATAAACGGGGTGAAGACTGAAACGGGAGAAATAAGTATTGAAATTAAAAGTGTTTATAATGTTTATCATACATGTTAAAAATTAAAATATGTAAAACTATCGAAAGCCTTAAATTAAGTTTTTAATACCGGTATCAGTTAAATTTATTATAATATATATTAACCCTTTTCTTTTTTATAATTTTTTCCGATAACAAAAAATTAGTTTTTTGGCTAATCTTCTTCCAATCGATTAAAATGACAATCAGTATTTATTTTAGGTTTTTGGAAGCAAGCGATTGGTCTAGGAAGTTCTTAAAAGAACTAGCATGTTTATTTGAAAAAATTTTTGAAATGATTACTTGGTATTGGTAATTTATACGCTTAGATTACTTTGGCAAAGACCGTTGAAAAAGAAGAGAAAAATTAAAAAAAGGAGGGAAGAAAGGCAAAATGACAGCACGGCGCCCAGGTGTTCTCTGAAGGCTGAGGTGAAATGAAAGTGATATCATATCGTATCAGCTTCTGTTTCTCGGGATCTGAACATTTAATTTTTATTGTTAGTGTGAGCTCAATTTTATTGTGCAATAAAATATCAGACAAACGGGTGATCTGCTCGAATTGTATATTAATTAGCAGCGAATCTACAAATGCATGCAAATTAACATGAAATATTTGCCAAGTCAACTTTGATAATTTGCGAGGAAAAGAACTAAGCGAAACGTGCTCTAACTGGTCACAGATATGGAATAGTCCAAACTTGCACAAACTTCAAAATAATTTGCTTTCAAAAACATTATGTATAACAAATTTATTTTATTAGCTGGCATATAGGCGCCTTTAGTTATATAATTTACATGTGTGATTGTGTCATTTCATAGTTGCATCTTTAAATTTATCGCTTTCTTAGCCTGATCTGAATGCCATTTTCCGACTTAAGCGTGACTCGAATGTTCAATACAGGATCGTATTCGCTTTGAGGGACGCAGTCTTCACGAGAATGATCGTTGATTCCGGGGGGTAGTCCATCTACTGCGGGCACTATTTCAAATCTTCGCAACAACTGGGACAGCAGAGCCTTCATTTCGTACATGGCGAACTTTTCAGCTGAAAATATATATTTTTAAATAAAACAAATTAAGAAACTAAACACTATTCCCGGTTAACACCTACCAATGCAACGCCTTGGACCTGCACTAAAGGGCACACTCTTAAAAGCCTCAATGCCAACGTCTCCGCTGGCTTTCTCAAATCTCTCCGGCCGGAAGATGCAAGGCTCATCGAAATACTTTTCGTTGTAGCCCATGGCAATGAGGCACATTATCACCGTAGTGCGCTTGGCTACCTTGGTGCCATCTGGAAGTAACAAGCATTATTTTGCGGCATAGCGAATTCTTAACCACTTCTTACTGATATCGATGGGCTTTCGGTTGGTTCGAGCAATCAGCGGCACCGACGGATACAAACGCAGGGTCTCTCGAATGATCAGCTCCAGGTAAACCATCTTATCCAGGGAAGCCAAGTCCGCCTCAGCCGACAAGTTATGGCCAAAGATGCGCTGCTGTTCCTCGAAAGCCTTGCGCTGAATCTCCGGGTGGCGGGATAGAGTGTACAGGGTGAAGGATATGGCGGCGGCTGTGGGATCGTGGCCCTAAATCAGAAATTATTATTTAAATATTTACTTGAAAAGGGTTATTTTCCATTTCATTGTAATTCTCCTACATACCGTGAATATAAAGGTGGACAATTCCTCGATAATCTCGCGCTCCTTGAGGACCCGACCATCGAGCTTGGCGGTCAGGAGAACGTCGAGGAAGGGTTTATTGATTGGCTGCCCTTGCTCACTTATATTTTCCACGGCCAAATGGTGGCGGCGCTGCCCGATAATCTACGAGGAGATAAACTGTCGACTTTAGAACGGCTCTCGCACCTATTTCCCCCAGAACTCACCCGGTTCAGTTCGCTTCGGAGGAGCGATAGAGCGCGGCGCTGCTTCATGTAGTAGGAGGTGAGTCGGAAGAGGGCGTCGAACCGCTTCACAATACTGAAGGTGCGCTCCTGCACCACATCGCATAAACTGGAAAACGGAAAGGGCTTAAGGGCTTAGTCCCAAGATTTCTCAGCTTGAACTTACTCCTTGATGGCGCCATGCAAATCCGAGGGCTCTCCATTTAGCGAACTGCTCGCTTGGCCAGTGGCGTTTTCTGGTGGAAAATAAAGTAGGGGAGGGACAGAGAGCCGGTGAAAATTTGCAGCTTCAAGCTGGCTAAATGAACCCGAACGAATCCCAAAAAATCTCAATAAATTACCAACGGTTAAAAGGGAAATTCTTCAAATCATTTGCAGCAGAGTGCGTTGTATCGTCGAGGGCGAGTACCTCGACCGCGAAACTTTTCCGCCCGCACAATCTGCGGCACTTGTACCCATTTTCTATGCAATAAATCTTATTTATAAAACGTTCATAATAAATTACAAAAAATAAACGAGCGAAACGCCCGACGAGCGAGACTCGGCCCAAAAAGCGACATGACAAATGTGTAAAGTTTGGCAGTCGTACACACAAAGGAATTATAACTGCCTTATAAGTACTAACCTTCTCTAATAATTGTAAACTAAATAACCATTTTGAATATGAAAAGTGTATTTTGATGTCAGCATTTTAAGAAAGTTAATTACAAGGTGAAAGAACAGAAATACAACTTTTATTTTGACGATTAATTAATTTCCTTTTAGCCTTTTTTTTCTAACTAACCAAAAGATTTTTAAATAAATTTACTTGAATATATTAAAAGTCATATGAGCTTAATACATATGCAAAAAAAAAAAAAAAAAACCTTAACAAGACTTTCTATAAAAACTAACAAAAGGCCAGGGAAGAAGCTTTTTGCGTAAGCCTTGTGTAAATACAAAATATTAACTTTCAAGCATTGAAATTTTATCTTTAGGATGTCATTTTTGAAAGAAACTAAATATTTATCGTAAATATAATATTTCAAGACAGTGATTATAAATTTGTAGCTGTGCATGAAAAATTTGTTTTGGCGAAATGCTGATGCTGGGTTCTCTGAGCAAGGCCACCTTCACTTACCGCACACAATATCCAGAGTACACTTGGCCACCAGCTCCTGGGCATCGAAGATTTCCTGAGTTGCCGACAGTCCGTCGAGCTTCTCAACGAATTTTTCACCCGTCCGTTGGACTACGCGTAGGTAGCCCTCGATGGCAGGACGCTCGAAGGCTGGGAGGTAGAGCTTCTGGTGCTTCAGCCATCGAGCACCGGAACTGGTCAGCAGCCCATCGCCCAGCCAGGGCCTCAGAAAGGAGTACAAGTGCTCCTTGTACAGCAGCGATGAGCTTGACAAAATGTTCTGCAGGGCAAACACAATGAACTAGGTGGGTGGCTATGGGGGTGGGGCGGACTTACCTGAATTTCCGCCGGATCACTCAGCATCATGTGGTACTGCAGGAAGACCAGGGAACGGAATCCCTGGAAATCATATTTCCGACAATATTGCAAAACCTTTTTGGGGTATTCTGTGGGAGACAGGAAAAGTTTGTGAGCCACCTTAATTATCAGCCACAAGTTTGCAGAGCTCTAGAGCTTGCAGTTGGGCAGGATTAAATGGAAATTAAATTTCAGGTTAACTTTCGGTAGCCTGATTTGATGTTGCACATATCCCTTTGTTACCTGGATGTCGAAAGTACTTGAAATCAATATGGATCCGGTTGCAATTAGGAGAAAATACCCTTTAATTAATCGTAGCTCTTTAAGCGACAGTCCAGACAATAAACTGGTATTAACAGCGGTCGCATATCGTAAAATCTATTCAAATATCTACTTTCAACTTGTATGGAAGAGCAATCTAAGCTGGCATAAGAATAACAAAATAATAACAATCAGATAACAGTGTGCAGCTCATGGCAGTCCGCCCTGAATTGGAGCACCAGACGAGCAGGGAGGCGGTATGATATCATCGAAAAATATAGTGCACCATCGTTTTTTTCCCCCTGGGCATTGTGCATTTGAAATGATTACTTTAGGCACGTGGCAGGGAAGGGCGGAGAAACAGGACCGAATTTACTCAGCTGTGCGAAGGAAGGCACTCGGGAAATGCGCACGGAACTTGATGAAAGCTGTAGCAGATATTACAATAAATAAGTCGGGGAAATCAGACACAATTCGAGATGAAATCCAAATGTGCAACGCGATACCAACGGGAATTGAACGCATTGAATCGCAGCAAATACCTAAGGTTCTGAGGGATTCGATCAGACAAACAAACGACTTTGGTATTAAACATTAAAGAGTTCATAAATATAGGCAGGCCCTGCGACTAGAACTCACCGGCGGGCTTGAGGCCAAACTGGAACAGATTACCCACGAAGGGATATGGCGTGGGTCCCGGTATCATCTCCATAATGCCGGCCATGTGGTCTATGTAGTTGAATATCCTCACGCCCTTGAACACCAAAATGGTGAACAAAATAATGGCAATCGCTATTAGAAACATGGTGCCGGTCAACTGTTCTGTCCTCGCTCGCTGTTCTATCCAAACTGGGTTGTCCAGTAACTTTTTCAGATTATTAGGTTACCAATTTTGTAGCCGATAACCCCATCGATAGCTTATCTAGCTCAACTTTTTGCACACCTTTTTTGCTGTTTGCAATCGATACAAATAGCATTATCAATACCCCAATTAACATAGTGCTTTATTGCTGTCGGTAATTGATAAATGTAATTAAACCGGGCTACCTGCTGGGAATTGACTCACTCAACTGATGACGTGTGGGTCTAAAGGCTGATTTGGTATCGCCAGAAGATATGGTGCCAATAAACGATTGCTAATCAGCCGTTGATAATGAATTAAGGCGGTGGTCAAAACTTTTGACACGTTATAATAGTTTTGGGCTTGGCTAGAGGCATAATCCGATCAAGGGCGTGGAAAGGGGGTTTGAAATTTACTCAACAGCCTGTTTGAGATTAATCTATAGACTCAAAGTGTGATAATTATTTACTTTTGAGCTAAACTCAAATAGGTTGGCGAAGAATCCTGGCTTAAATTCTCTAATCCCAGTTAGATATTTTAAAATAAATAAATTAATTCCAGAATCCTAACAATATCTACCAAAAAAATAAATGTCATAGATGGAAGCCCAAAATAATTAGGTATACGATACTAAAAACTGATTATATTAATTTAAAAGTTTTAATATGAACTATTTATTTGTCGCAATAGAAATTTTGTTTAATTTCATAAAATCCCATGTCAAGTAATGGTTTTCTTTTGACATGAAAATGTAAACTGCAAGTACAATTTAAATCTACTTCACGTTTAGGATTAAATACACTTTTTTCTCTTAACTGATAAGCTTAAAAATAAATAATGGTATTAAATTACTCTTTCTTGTGGCTCTTGAAACTTACTCCTCGTTCCAAAAGAGAGCCTCTCTGTTGACATAATACATATTTAAGATATGCCGCTAAATTTGTTTTGTTTTTTTGAGAGCAGTTTTTTATTATACCTGGGTCTTATCAATGAATTTGTTTGTTTGTAAAAAAATAACATTGTAAATATTATATGGGCATATATCAGTTCACAGTTATATTTTAAGCCGCATTTCTGCAAAGTGATTGCACTCTAACTCTTCTATTGAGATTCCCCTTTCAAAGTGACGAGGCTCTTCTCTTAAAAAACCTGATTTTGAATTGACCAGTCATGCTGAAAGCACCAAAATATTTACTTATATTCGGGGGGCTTTTGTGGGATCGCAAAGGCGGCTAGAAAAAGAGAGCGAGAGCCTAGGAGCTGGCTGGAATCTCTCGTATTTAAACCAGCTGTCCGCCCAAAAGGTCTCTCATATTCCCAGAGTTTCGCGTGCCGATCGGTCGTCTTGGTACTCGCGATCGAAAATGTGGTTCGTGTTGTATATTATTGTGGCCCTGCCGCTGCTGGTGGTCGCCTATCTGGAGTTGACCACCTTCCGCAGGAGAAAAGTGCTAAACAAGTTCAAGGGCCCCAGCGGCCTGCCCCTCGTGGGGAATGCCCATCAAATGGGCAAGAATCCCTCAGGTGGGTTTACCTTAAATACGCATAGCACTCGACAAAAAAAGTAGACGATACACTCGAAATTACCCATCTCGAATAGCGTTGTGACTGAGGTAACTGCGCATCGAAACGACTCAGCGGCAACGCTATTTCAGATAGGTCATTTTGGGCCAGCGACTTTACGACCGGAAAATTGTTCTGCTAACTATCTGTTAATGAGGCTACTAGCACTTGAAGATATAGGCTAATCGTAGCCCTTGAGATAATGCTGTGTTGTGTAAGCAACTTAAGTATACAGTCGCGTAAATGTTGGATACAGAAAATCGCGTGTCGAAAACAAACAATGAAAACCTTTGGAATATTTTCGTCGCATACTAACAGTGATTCGTGATCCGCCTACTAATGGATGTTTTCTTACGACCATATAGAGATACTCGACCAGGTATTCTCCTGGTGGCATCAGTTTGGCAAGGACAACTTTGTCTTCTGGATTGGAACATACTCAAATGTGTTGGTCACTAGTTCCAAGTACCTTGAGGTTAGTTATCAGACAATTTTCCACACTCATGATGACTTTAATATTTTCTATGATTCTTTAGTTTATACTCAGCAGTCAGACGCTGATCACAAAGTCCGACATTTATCAGCTAACGCATCCCTGGCTGGGACTCGGACTTTTGACCAGTACTGGAAGCAAGTGGCACAAGCACCGCAAGATGATAACGCCGGCCTTCCACTTCAACATCCTGCAGGACTTCCACGAGGTGATGAACGAGAACTCCAACAAGTTCATCAAGCACTTGAAGAAGGTATCTGCCGGGGACAGTATCTTTGACTTCCAGGACCAGGCTCACTATCTCACCTTGGATGTTATTTGCGACACCGCCATGGGTGTGTCCATCAATGCCATGGAGAATCGAAGCTCTTCCATTGTGCAGGCCTTCAAGGAGTGAGTTTGGGGCTTCCTATATCTGCAACTTCTCATACTAAATGTGTTTATCTTCCACAGCATGTGCTACAACATCAACATGAGGGCCTTCCACCCTCTGAAGAGAAATGAGCTTCTGTATAAGTTGGCTCCCGATTACCCAGCCTATTGCAGGACTCTAAAGACCCTCCAGGACTTCACCAATGAGATCATCGATAAACGCATTGCGGCTCACAAATCGGGATCAGTTTCGACCAGTCAAGGCGACGAGTTCACTCGCAAGAAAATGGCCTTTTTGGATACCCTGCTATCGTCCACTATCGATGGTCGGCCCCTGAATTCTACGGAGCTGTACGAAGAGGTCTCCACTTTCATGTTCGAGGGACACGATACCACCACTTCAGGGGTATCATTTGCTGTCTATCTGCTTTCAAGACATCCAGACGAACAGGTTAAATAATAGCACTTTTTCATAAAAAGTTTGTTATGTTAACGATTTGCTTTTAAGCGCAAACTATTTGAAGAGCAACGTGAGATAATGGGTAATACTGGATTGGATCGCGATGCAACCTTCCAGGAAATATCCCAAATGAAGTACTTGGATCTGTACATCAAGGAGGCCCAGCGCATCTATCCCAGTGTGCCTTTCATTGGTCGATTTACGGAAAAGGACTATGTAATTGGTAAGCGTTATTTGGACTATCTAAAATCATCTTAGTAACATGTTTTCTCTTCAGATGGTGATCTTGTACCCAAGGGTACCACACTCAACTTGGGTCTCGTGATGCTGGGATACAACGAAAAGGTGTTCAAGGATCCGCACAAATTCCAACCCGAACGATTTGAGCTGGAGAAACCAGGACCTTTCGAGTATGTGCCCTTCAGTGCCGGCCCGCGTAACTGTATTGGACAGAAGTTCGCCCTGCTGGAGATCAAGACCGTGGTGTCCAAGATCATTCGGAACTTTGAGGTTCTACCTGCCCTGGATGAGCTTGTTTCCAAGGACGGTTACATAAATACCACCTTGGGATATCCTCCTGCCGAGAGAAAGAAGCGCGATGCTCATCGTCACAAATACGATCCCATTCTTTCCGCTGTGCTGACTCTGAAATCCGAAAATGGTCTCCACATTCGTCTGAAGGAGAGGCACTAAAGCGAAATTCTATTGATCTCGAAGAGAGCATGCTCATCTTTTTGTTAAGCTTGGTGCCTTTAACGGCTTATCTTTTTTTACATTTTTACTAAGTTTGATTTCCCCACAGAAACAATTATTAAGACACTGTTAATCAGGGGAAGTAGAACAAATAAACAATTTAAAAACAAATATTCAATAACATGTTTTACACTTTGGACTGTTCAAATGATTGCAAGTAGAACACTTTGGTGAAATGTTAAATCTCAATTTTATATGTACAATATTTTGCAAACTTCACATTACAAGAGATTGATTCACGCATTTTGACCAGTCATGCTGAACGCATATAAATGCCTTTTTGTACCAGATTCGGGAGATAATGTCGTCATAGGCCGTTTGAGAGATCCAAAGTTCGAGAGACTGAGAACTGTCTACCGCAACCGGTTGGAGTATTTAAGCAGAGAGTCTTCCACTTTTTACTCAAATCCGATTTACTCGCTACGCCGATCGGTTGTCTGTGGTCGCATTCGAAAATGTGGATCGTACTGTGCATTTTTATTGGCCTACCGCTGCTTTTGGTGGCCTATTTCGAGCTTGGATCACTGCGGCGAAAACAAATGTTAAACAAGTTCCAGGGCCCAAGCATGCTGCCGTTGGTGGGAAATGCACATCAGATGGGAAAGACTCCCACAGGTAAATGCATTCTCAGTGCATTTCATTATGTCTGGGGATCAAAGTCTCTTCTAGATACCATCGCACCTTGGGTGTCTGATCACATAACAATTGTCTAGAATGATAGCACTGGGACTTTGATCTTTATCTGGCCAAATTAGTGTTTTAAGAAAAGCTAAAGTCATAGCTAAAGCAATCACGTGTGAGGAATAATTAATTATAATTATAAGTTTCAATGTTTGTTTTTGCTCAGAGATTTTAAACCGATTTTTTGGCTGGTGGCATGAGTATGAAAAGGGTAACTTTCGTTACTGGATAGGCTTCTACTCGAATATTATGGTCACTAGCCCCAAGTACATGGAGGTGAGTTTGGCCCAAACACTGTGAGTGACAATAATGGTACAGCAAAGTTTTTACACAGTTTATACTGAGCAGTCAGACCTTGATATCCAAGTCCGATGTCTACGATCTCACGCATCCCTGGCTGGGATTGGGTCTTCTGACCAGTACCGGCAGTAAATGGCACAAGCACCGCAAGATGATCACTCCGGCCTTCCACTTCAACATCCTGCAGGACTTCCACGAGGTGATGAACGAGAACTCCAGCAAGTTCATAGATCAGCTAAAAAAGTTGGCAGACGGGGACAACATCTTCGACTTCCAGGAGGAAGCTCACTACCTGACCTTGGATGTTATTTGCGACACCGCCATGGGTGTGTCCATCAATGCCATGGATAACCGAAGTTGCGCCGTTGTACAAGCCTTTAAAGAGTAAGACGCTTTAGGTGGATATCTATAACCCCTTTTAATTTATTTGTTTTCCCGATAGTATTACCTACACCATCAAGATGCGAGCGTTTAGACCTTGGAAGCGCAATGAATTTCTCTTTCGCTTTGCACCCGAATACCCAGCCTATAGTAAGACTCTGAAGACCCTTCAGGACTTTACCAATAAGATTATTGCAAAGCGAGCTGAAGCCCTAAACGAGGGCGTTGAGAAAGTCAGTCAGGATGATGAGTTCAGCCGCAAGAAGTTGGCCTTTTTGGACACTCTACTTTCAGCCACAGTGGATGGTCGGCCGCTAACTTCCCAAGAGCTTTACGAAGAGGTCTCCACCTTTATGTTCGAGGGGCATGACACCACCACTTCTGGAGTTGGCTTTGCAGTGTACCTGCTCTCTAGACATCCCGAAGAACAGGTGACCCAACAAGTCTTTTCAACCAAGTTCTTTTGAAACACAATTTTCAACTTGCAGAAAAAACTATTTGACGAACAGTGCAAGGTGATGGGCCATTCGGGACTTGGTCGGGATGCCACTTTTCAGGATATCTCCCAAATGAAACACTTGGATTTGTTCATAAAGGAGGCGCAACGTCTTTACCCAAGCGTACCTTTCATTGGTCGCTTTACGGAGAAGGATTATGTGATTGGTAAGCCTTTGGTACTCGTTTAAAGCTTCATTGGTAATCAATAGTTCTTATTTAGATGGAGACCTTGTTCCCAAGGGCACTACCTTAAACTTGGGCCTCCTAATGTTGGGATACAACGATCGTGTTTTCAAGGATCCCCACAAATTCCGACCAGATCGCTTTGATCTGGAGAAGCCGGGACCTTTTGAGTACGTGCCCTTTAGTGCCGGTCCACGAAATTGTATTGGACAAAAGTTCGCTTTGCTGGAGATCAAGACTGTCGTTTCAAAGATCATTCGGAACTTCGAGGTTCTTCCAGCTTTGGATGAGCTCGTTTCTAGGGACGGCTATATAAGTACGACCTTGGGGCTTCCCCCAGAGGAGAAGAAGAAGCGCGATGCTCATATCAATAAATATGATCCGGTTTTGTCGGCTTCCATGACCTTGAAGTCTGAGAATGGTCTGCATTTGCGCATGAAGCAGAGGCTTTAAATGTGATTACCTGATAAAAGTTAAAAGCCTACTTTTAGGCATACAACTTTTATCAACTTTATTAAGTACAGATTAGTTAACATTTCATGTAAAGTCGCTACTTTATTGTCCCTTATCTGAATAAAATTAGCTTAAACTGCCACAAGAACGGTGCCCACATAGGGACTTGCCACGAATTCGGAGGGTTTGATGACATCGCCATCGACATACTGCGAATTCAGGGAAGTGGTAATGACCTCCGCCTGGGTTCCCAGTGCGTAATACTTGGTCAGGTCCAGAGTCTTGGAGGTGCCGTTCAAGTTGAGGACGATAACATACAGATCGCTATCGGTCTTTTGACTGTTTGAATAAGAAATATTTAGCAAACGATTTGGGGTTTTAAGAATTGCTTTACTCACCGCGAGTAGATGATCACATCGTCGTCGATGGCCTGAATGTTGAGCTCTCCCTGGCGGAAGGATGGCTCCTTGCGGACTCGCACCAGTTTCTTGAAGATCTGCAGGTGGGATCGAGGGGCACGCAGCTGCTGCAGGGCATTGTTGGTCTTGTAGTCATCGGCCACTGGAAGCCAGGTGTGATCGGCACTGGTGAAGCCTTGAGAATGTAGATGTAAATATTAAATATTAATATCAATGCAGAGAGTTATGAAATCACTGTTTTTGTCAATTCTTCAATGTCAATCCTGCTTATTCAACCTTCTTATTAAAAGCTACCAACCTAATACAACACTTGTCTATTTTACGTACACAACTTAGATAATATTAATCAAAGTGTGACAAATAAATTTGTTATCAGAATGTCTTCTACATGGCCGTCAAAAAGTAAAGTTTAATTGATTGCTTATTATTTTTAAACTATTTAGTTATTAGCTATAATTTAGAAATAGGAAATAGGAATCTAAAAACCCAAGAAACTGATAACCTATTTGAATATGAATCCCAAGCTTAGGTCTTTGAAAATAACGAAATAAGTAAATGCTTAGTCTTACCTGCTTTGGAGGAGGCGTCCCACTGGTAGGGCGATCGCTCCGGGTCCCTGGATCGGTCGTAGTAGTTGTCCGGGTCGGAGTTGCAGGCATTCGGGTCCACGGTGTCCTCCCAGCTGATCCACACATCGGTCATGCCGATCTCCTCGCCATTGAAGGTGACCGCGTGGCCGGGCAGTGTCTGCAGCAGGATGTTGATGAGGTCGGTGCGCTGGATTCCAAATCGGGAGGCAATCCGCTTGTTGTCGTGGTTGCCCAGCACCCAATTGGCGTACACGCCCGCGGGCATGGCGTCCATCCACTTCTTGATGTGATCAACATAGTCACCGGCCTTCGAGGCGTTGTTGATGCTCGTGAGGAAGTCGAAGTTGAAGGGAATGTGGGAGCCGTTCCTCACCCCGTTGCCGTAGTACTTCATGATGTTGTCGAAACTGGTGTAGGCCTCCGTCATCAGCAGTCTCTTGTCGCCGCCGTTCTCCACATGGAACTCGTCCACCAACTCGCGCCACTGGTAAACCATGTCAATGGTTTCGGGCTGATCCTGCGTGTAAATGTGCTGCGTGTAGCAGTGGTCATCCGGATCGGGGCAGTTTACGGAGTCGTTGGTCAGCGGCTCATCCGGATACTGGTTGTACCGATCGAGATCCACCTCGAACAGGTAGGGCACCGCATCGATGCGGAAGCCGGAAACGCCCTTGGCCAGCCAGAAGCGGATCACGTTCTTCATCTCGTTGACCACCGCCGGATTGCGGTAGTTGAGATCGGCCTGCTGGATGGCGAACTGGTGGAGGTAGTACTGCTGGCGCACCTCGTTCCACTCCCAGGCGCTGTAGCGGAACTCGGAGTTCCAGTTGCTCGGCGCCTCCCGCTCCCCGGTCTCGTTGTTCACCTTGCCGTCGTGCCAGATGTAGAAGTCCTTGTAGGTGGGATCGCTGTCCACCGACTTGGTGAACCACTCGTTGTCCGTGCTCGAGTGGTTGGGCACAAAGTCCAGGATGATCTTGATGCCCACCTCCTTGGCCTTGGCGATCATGCGCTCGAAGTCCTCCATGGTTCCGTACTCTGGCTGGATGGTGTAGAAGTCCGAGATGTCGTAGCCGAAGTCCACCATCGGCGACTTGAAGATGGGCGACAGCCAGGTGGCCGTGAAGCCGATGTCCTTCAGGTACTGCAGCTTCTCGGTGACGCCGTTCAGGTCGCCGATGCCATCGCCATCGGAGTCGTGGAAGGAGCGCGGGTAGATCTGGTAGTAGTTGCCACTCTCCCACCACTCGGTGGCTCCCACGAGGCCAACGATGGCCAGCAATAGACACGCAGCTGATTGCGGGCGCATTTTGTTCGATTTTGTTCGGTCTGGGGAGGTGACAGCCGCCTTTTATACCGCTCGATAAGGCGGCTCCTATCGAGATCTGGCCCACTTGGAGTGGCCATTTGAATTGCTGTGCAAACAGCTCACATGAGTTCTCAGGGTGCTCGAGTCTGCGAACCGAAACTGTCATTGTTTTCGTACTCCCAGCGAAGCTTTACGTAAAGCGATTAGCCCTCTCCCGAACACCTTTGATTGCTGGAAAAGTACCGATTTTCAAGCCAAGTATCTTCCTGGGTTTTGTTATGGTAGGGCATTGAAGTGGCCATTAGTCACCTGATACGAAAACGGACCAAATCCTCCTCCTTCAACTGCAGGCAAACAAACAACAGTAAGCTGGAAAACTATGATTAATAAATACTTAACAGAGTTGTGGAAATATTTCTCTGATAACCTTGTGGAAGGTTTGTGGGGCATTTTAAAAGCGACAAAACATAGTCATTTGTTGCAATATTGTCTAAATTATTGTTATCAGGGTTAGTCAAGTCTTACTTGATAAGTTGAGTTACCCAGAGCAGCAGCAAAAAACATTAGGGAAGCACTTGTTTATTGGAATAGACCACCGGAAAATCAAATGATAATTAGTTTTGATTGTTAGTTAGTTTTAATTTGAGTCGTTTTTTTAGGCCCCGTAGCTATAGATCAATTCAAGTTTGCCTGTAAATTTTATAACATTATATATATTTTTGTATTTTAAATATTTTATTTTAAAGTTTAAATAGGTTTGTTTTGATCATTTTGTTTTAATGGATAATTTATCCCCTATACCAATCTAAATTATTTGTATAATTTAAGTTTCGAGTATCAATCACTCTTTTCATTTTCCCATTTTACATATAGGGGTGGGGATTCGAATTTTAAAGTCTGCAGTTTAAAAACTTTGTAAAAGTGTAAAAGTGATAAAAATTCTTCAACAATGCAATTTCTATACAAAAATAGTTTTAATTTAGGCCCTTTACTTTTTGAAAATTTTTTTTGTATAGAAATGGTTGTTGGAACTGCCTTACCCTTTACATACTATTCATACAACAGTTTGCAAACCTGTCACTATTTGAACGTAACGCCTAAATATATTTCAGTTATACGTTTTTTCTCGCAGTCCCGATCAATTGATTTTAAATGGAAGCCTGAAAAGTCTATCCAACCATATATTTATCAACTACAACGATTTGAAATAACTAATCGCAGCACGGCGTTTGGGCTCGCTTGTTGATTTATCACCTCCTGGGATGATGCCGGATGTGGGAAAGAAAAAGAAGTGTAAGCACACGTGCAAATCCAAATGGCAAGAGCGCATTTTAATTGAATTAAAACCGCTTCGAGTGGATTGCCCCGGGTGGCTTAATGAGTAAGTGTACTTGTACAAACATGCCATGAAAATACAAGAATATTCCCTCCGGTTCCGGTTGGAAAGGATTCAAGGATGCAATATGTAGTACATACAAATTAGGTTTACGCCAGTAGTGTATTTTGTTAAAAAACATATTGGATATTTGGCTGTTTGAATAATTATGTTCCGTTCATATCTTATTTGAAACTAAAATATGTTATTATGTGAGTTTTACATAATCTTGAATTAAGCAATTTTAGACCCCATCCCCATTAAAAGGAATCCTTTATACGCCACTGGTTCACATCCTCTTTGGGCAATTAGCATTCGTTTTGGTTTTAGTTTGAGTAGGGATGCGGAAAAGGTTACTAATTACATGGCTGCGTTATTCAAAAAGTGCACATTGTGGTTAGCAAACTAATTTAGCTAACGGCGGATGTACCTACAAGTAAAACAAATTAAATATGGAATAGAGAGCTGACATTCTGCAATGAACGGAAACAAGGATGAGCGTCATAATTAGTTCATGAGCGTTTAATGGAAACATGGCTTTCAACATAATTACAAGAAGTCCGCATCCTTTAATCGATAATCTTAAAATAAAGATAATTTCAGAGCATTATTAAAATCAATAATTAACAATTATTTTTTTAATTTTTTGTAATAATCGAAAAATAAAAACCATTGCGGACTTGTAAACAACAATGGGTAACAAAAATATTTTTGGTCCCTCCTTAAAGTTTAACTAACTAATAAGTCAATCAAGTTTTTGGCTCTTGTCCATATTGAGTGAAATGGATCGATTTTGTATAGCACATCAATCATTAGTGCTAAAATAGTGAGTAGTTATTTTTCATCATGAAAATTCTTGATAAAATTAAATTTCAAAATATTTTAAAATGTTCATGTTTGCGTTATATATGTTCTACTGTACATTTTTATATGGGCAGACATTAATGAAAGGTTTTGATCCAGTTTTGCGAATCTGTGGCCACCCATCGATTTATTCTTTTTCCAATCGTATTTATTTTTATTGCATTTTTACGACACTTCGCGCTTTAGTGGTATATCCAATAAAAAGAAACGAGATGGAGAGACCGGGAAAAAGCCCAGTCCGCGGTTATTTAATCTAGAAAATATGCGATAAAACACTGACAGATTACCAGTTGGTCGGCGCAATTGCGGCCTTATCGCCTCCCCAATCGCTACATGGCCGGCAATTGTTATTAGCAAATTGAGTTTGGCCCACTCAAACGCTATCGAAATGCCACAGTGGGCACATCTCGGCCTGGCGGCTCTCCTCCTCGTCAGCTGCACCCAAAAGTGGGTGGTGCGGACATCGATTGGTG